GGGACGTGTTCTCCTGCTCCTGGCCTTGCCCTCCTCCTCCTCCCCTGCGGGCGGCCGCCTGAGAAATGGCGCGCCGACAGCTCCTCGCAAAAGTCATAAACCCCAGGGCGCTTACCCAGATTTTTTTCTGGAGAGAGAAAGAGAGAGAGAGACAGAGAGGGAGAGAGAAAAATTATGAGAGGGTTAGAGCGAAGGCAAAAACATATCTTTAATTTCTTTAAAATGACATACACGGAGTACGGTATCCCTAAAAGGCGCACTCTAGGAAACACGAACAACGCTAATTATTTTTTTAAAGTTTAATTATTTTTAATATTTTTTTAATTATTTTTAATATTTTAATTATTTAATTATTTCAAGTTTAAAGAAGCCCGTGTTGCTCAAAACTTGACACACGTGCCAACCCGCGGCTGCCTCGTTTTTTTGGCCATGAGCCAGGTGGGACGTATGACGGATTGACGGCGGATCCACATCGACAACCACCACACATAACCCCCTCCCGCCCCCAAATACGTCATTATCCCATCAACGTTGTATCTAGGAATGGGCTACGATTTTTTTTTTGCAAAGCTTTGGTCTGGCCATCTGATTTTGGTGTTCCCTTTCTTTCGAAAAACGGAATTTTTTTAAATTCTAGGTGAGCGGAAAAAGAGCACGAGAGAGCGAGGGGAGAGAGATAGAACACAATAGAGAGCGATAGAGAGAGTCAGTGAGAGAGACTGAGTGAGTGAAGGAAAGCGCTGGGTGAGAGACAGCGAGAGTGGGAAAGATAGGGAGAGAGTGAGAGGGTTAGAGTAAGAGAGAGCGGAGGGAGAGAGTGAGAGAGAGCGGGTAAGCGTGAGATCGAGAGAAAGGAGGGAGAGCGAGAGAAGAAGTAGGAAACTAGTAAAGTGAGTGAGACAGAGCGAGCAAGCGAGGAGGTGAGAGTAAGGGAGACAGGGAGAGAAAATTATTTTTTTGACGAAACATGATCTTTCCGGAAAAATACAAAAATAAAATCCCGATTTTTTGAACGACAGAAATCAGTGAAAAATGCCATCAAAATCCGTACAAAATCCGGCCTTTAGTGGCTAAGCACGGACACCAAGAAGTACAATCCAATCCAAAAAACACCACTCTCCTGCCCGTCAGACCGTAAACACATATGCAAATCCAAGGGCCCCCCACCCCTCCTGCTCCTGAAGCGTGCCCCATTAGGTGTTAGGGGCCCAGGAGGCCCGGGCCAGCTGGCCCGAACGGCCTCCCCTTGCCTCCCGACCCCGTCAAAATTTACAAGCGCCTCCCGACAGCACACACGCCCGGGACGAGAACCGTCCATATGGAGCGACGCGTAGCTTTCAGCACCCCCTGGCGAAGGGGCTATGGTAAAAACAACCGGCGAGGCGGGGGAGGCGGCATAAAATAGGGAAAAGATGTGCGTTTCCCCAAAGGCGCCTTGCCTCACAAATTGGCCACGATTTTATGGGCAGCCAGAAACGGGGGTCGAGATGGTAAAAAGTGTAGCAGAGTTGCTTGAGAAAGCGAGAGAGAGAGAGAGAGAGAGAGAGAGAGGCGAAGTAGCGATTTACAGCTGGAGCAAGGTTGGATTTTTTGTTTTCCGGGCGTCTCCGATTGTGTTAAAGAGACTGGAAACCGCCGGAATCGACGTTTCTGAGTTTTAGACCTAGTGAACTACGCAGTGCGTCAAAAACCAGCAATTTTGGGTCTTTGCAAGACTCTTCAAATTTGTAGCAATTTTTAGATGAGCGTGGAAGCGTCAAAAGCGACGTTTTCAAACCACTAGGTATAGACAAATACTGAAAGCATGGAATACTAATATTTCGTTCCAGCCCTATGTCAACTTCCGGGTGGTCAGGGTGTCAGAATCCTGCATGTTCCTCCTCCCCCAGCTTGTCACCTCAAGCCCTCGACAAGCGGTTTGGCCCGTTTGCGGATTAGAAACTCGAGGGCCACCACACCAACGTAATCCGTCCTCCTACTCCCTCACGCATTCCGGAACGCTCCCAGCTTCACACATTCCTCAGCTACGCAACTGTACGGGATCGGTCTTGGCGTAGGAACGTCAGATGAAAATAATTTTTACACGGTTCGAAAGACCGGAAAAAAGACGCGCATAAACGCCAGATTGCCACGAAACACATGGTTGTTACAAACATTAGGGGAAAATTCTAAATGCTACCAAACGCAAGCATTTTAATTCGGGGGAGTAGCTTAAGATCCCCATCTAAATTCCAATTCATCTAAAGTCAAATTTTTATTGGTTGCAAACCCCCAGAGTCAACGGTTTTCAGAGAAATAGCAGTTTTTAGGCACCAGTTTCCTTGGAAAAGAATTATACAGCCGAAAAATCAGAACCTGTTTACTTCAGGAATCGATCCGAAAACTGCAGGCAATCTTGAGTCATAGCTTCAATCTTCAAGATTTATAATAGGTCATAGCGCACCATAAGCGCATTAAAACCATCGGCAGGTTTTTAAATATAATCATCGCAAAAGATTCCTACCAGTACGTTACGGTTCGAAGTTACAACCGAACCGTTCTAGTGGTTGTTGCCGAAAAGAAATCTTATGGATCCAAAAAACCGCTACAGAACGCATCAAAATTCGTATAACCACCACAACAAATTGCTACAAACAACGGCGTATGCCGAGAAACATGCTGAAACTTTCCCCCCTGCTCAAGCCCCCAAGTGCACAAAACGACGCCAGAAAAGCCGGGGAAGAGTCAGTTGTCGTGCCGAGCCGTTAGCAAGGGGACCTGCCGCAGGGTTTTTAGCAAGCCGACTGACGACATGGACAAAACGCAAAGAGGTGCACCGCGGAATGAATTGGGTGGGGGGGAACGGATGAGGAGGGTGGAAAAAGGCGCTGAAATTAGCCTTGGGGCAGAGAGAAAAGTGTGGCCCCAGGGCATTTGGTGGGGTTAAAAAACGACCACGAAGAGATTTATGGGAGAGTGAGATGGGAGTGGAGATTGAGTTGATGGGTTTGGGGGATTTTGTTTTCAAGGAAGGGGGCTAAAAATTGAATAAAAATTGGCGTAAAAATGTAAAAATTTGTTGACATCTGTCTCTGTCTGTCTGTCTGTCTCTCTCTCTCCTCTCTCACTCTCACACTTTCTCTCTCACTCCCGCTCTCACGACCGATTTTCGAACATTGTATTGTTGCATATTACCCAAAAAAAATCAACTTTCTCCCGGAAATAGCCCGTAATAAGCAGTAAAAGACGAAACATCTGCAAGTTTTACTTATCTTTACTGCTCTCGCTTTCCTCGGAACCCCTCAGAAAAACGTGTGAGATTATGGGCCAAGTCGGCTTATCAGTGGAACCGCGAAAGTTCAGATTTTGAGGCTGTTGGGCCCTTAAAAAATTGGGAGTAATAGTAAAAGGGCTTTAAGGATAAGATCATGAAAGTTAAATGTTTTCCCGGGCTAGCAGAGATTGTTGGGGAGCTTACCACGTCAAAATTAATAAAAAAATGCATCGACTTTCTGAAACTGAAAAAAACGAGAATACGGCGGGTTTGCAGGGCCAGATATCAGCAATCCTTGAGGAAATTTAATTAAATTAAATAAGGTTGGGCAGGTAAAAACCTAAAGAGGTGGGGCAAGCCAGCAGAGATTTTTTGGACATTGCATGAAAATTTGGCTAGTATAAACACATGGCAAATAAGAACAGCGGAAGCAAGTTTTTTTCTGGGCCTGAAATTCGAGCCTTTGTTTGCTAAACAACCCCCAAAAAAGTCGATGACCTTGCCCTCGACCAACATAGAGATTAGCAACATGCCCCCAAGGGCCTAAAAAGCCGAAAAAACTGGCGAAAAGTCGAAGAGTTTGCTCCCGGGGGAATTCCCATGCTTTTCCCCAGACTTGCCCAGACATCAAAAAGCCCCGGGTTTTTGAAGAATTGCCCGGCATTATGCTTATCGCCTTTTTTTGGGGAAGAAAGGGAGGAGAAGTCGCCAGATGGGTTGAAGTTTTGTTCGCAAAAATTGGGGTTTTGTAAAGGGACGGATTTTGCTGCTATATTTTGTAAAACCGGAACTTCCACCGTCCTTTAACGCCCAAACCTAAGCTTATTCTAAGCATACGCCTAAGCCTAAGCAAAGCCTAAGCCTAGGATAGGCTTAAGTCCAAGTCTAATCTTAATCCTAAGCCTAACGTAAGCCTAAAGATAAGATTATGTCGCTCACATGCTCCCTTAAAACTTCCAGAGCTAGCATCGTTAATAAGGGCCCTACGAAAATCTTATAAAAAGCTGCAAAACCTGAGCAAGCCAATTTTTCAAGTATGCACACGACCCGGAGAGGTTCAGGTTCAGGTTCCACCCACCACACAACGCAAATATTCCAATTGGCCATACGCCCAGCACTGGCGGCTTTTTGTCGCCTCTCTCTCACTCTCTCTCTCTCTCTCTCTCTCTCTCTCTCTCTCTCTCTCTAGCTCTCCATTTCTTTCTCTGTAACCCGATCTGGCGGTGTATCTACAAGCCGGCGAGCCCGGACGAACAGCCCTACTCCTTGGAAAACCAAGAGAAAGCTGGATTTTTGTGGGGGTTGTATTTCGGAAAAGCCGTCTTAATTTGGCTTTTAGACTTTTTAAGGAGAAAGGAGACGAGCGGCTTTAGGCCAACTTTTTTTTGCAAGCAGCAGCAAAACAAATACCGTAAAAAGCCTGCTTCAGTTTCTTTACGACTTTCGGCAGCGTGCGGAACGGAAATGAGTCCATAACTCAACGGCAATCCATTTTATCTGTTTTTCGGTGTATATCACTCATTCTCTCTTCTCTCTTTCGCTCGCTCTCTCTCTCTCTCTCTCTCTCTCTCTCTTTCTCTCCCTCTCCTTCCCAGGTCCTAGAAGACCGAAGATCCCGCTCAAAACATGCGAAAACACGAACGGTAGCGGCGGCTTCAAAGGCACGGTGTGAAAAGTGTGGCCGTAATAAACTTATGCGAACGTTGGAATCCTATAAGAACCAAAGCAAGAGTAAGGTTTTGGTGGGATGATGTTGCTCTACCTTGTTTTCCTCCTCTCCGTGGTCCAGGCGGTAGATGAGCGGATAACCTTTGCCGCATTTCAAGGTTGGTTTATGCAAACGTGCATACGGTATCGAAGAGTCAGCTGAAAGAACACAGCAAAAACCGCGTTTCAGAACAGCACGTCCATTTCCCACATGGTGTCGCCGCCGTCAATAGTACCGTCACTGTTCACGCCCAAATTCATCCGGGAGCGAAGCGGTACCACATTCCATGAGAAACACATCTTAAACGATCGATTTTGTCTTCAGATGGCGCATCAGTCTGGTCACCGACAACCTATGGCGCGTTGTGATCGCCCTGGACGCCGTTGTCGAGCAGAATCTGCACTACTACGCTTCTTCGCTGGATGTAGAATCTTGACTACTTCCTACTAACGTCGAGGTTTCAGAATACTCGCACCGTAGCTCCCAAGTGGCTCCTCGGCTCGCCGGTCTTCGAGGGAACGCCGTATGGTAAAGGACAGTTGCTGGACGTGACGATGAGGTCAGTCAATTCCTGAATTTTCTGTGATTTGCATAAACTCCGGCAATCGGTCTCGATTTTTAGGATCGTTAGTGATCGTCTGATCCGGGTGTCGTTCGGAAAAAGGTCTGGTGTCCGGGAGCACCTCTACCGACTTCCGGACGCATTTCCGGGCCGTGCAACGCAGAGTCATACTGTCATTGTGAGTATAGGAGTTTTGAGGTTATTACGGGATCCGATTACGATGTATAAAGGCGCACAGCGTTACCTAGCGTCGCGCCTTAAATTGGTTGCTTTCTTGGCAAGCGAAAATTCCTCATTTTTCAGGTATCCGGCGACCTGCGCTCGATCAAAATCGGTGGGACGGCGATCGGGAGTAACAACCAATACGGAGGCGCCCGAGATTTGAACGAGAACACGGCTCTCCACGTGACGAAAGGCCCGAAAGTCCGCCACGTGCCGAAGACCGTACCACCAATACTGCTCAAGCCCGAGTTCGACGCGTTCAACATCATCCCTGATCTGCAGAAGCCAGATTACCGCGAACGGATCCGTGAACTGCTCGAGAAGCTCGAAAGTCAGGATAAGGGGAAGAAGCACAGGGAGGAGGAGGATGAGGAGGCGAACTGGGGCTGGAAGTCATGGATATGATAAAGAATAATGCATAACACAAGGGCTGCCGAACATCAAAAAATGTCGATTCGAGCATATAGAGAGTGAGAGATAGAAAGAGCGAGTGAGTGAGAAAGCTAGAGAGAGAAAGAGAGAGAGAGAGAGAGAAAGAGAAATAGAGAGAGAGAGAGAGCGACAAGAGAGAGAGATAGTGAGTGAGGTGCGTGAGAGAGATAGAAAGTGCGAGAGAGAGTGAGTGAATGACCGAATTACCGTCAGGGATTGAGTGAGATAACGAGAGAGAAAGAGGGAGAGAGCGAGACAGAGCGAGTGAAAGAGATCGACAGAGTGCGAGAGTTAGCGCGAGAACGCGAGAAAGAGAGAGATGGCCTCTATCAAAGCAGCGCCGCCATTTTATGACAAAACATGCGATGGTGTGCGCGCTAGTGCCGACCATAACTCATCGTTCAACCTATAAATTTCCGCATCATCGCCGTCTTTCTCATTTTCCACAAACATGATTCCGTTTCTTCTGCTTCTGATTGCCGTTGCGCAAGCCGTCGATGAAAAAGTGTCTTTCAAGAAGTTTCAAGGTACGATCGCCTCGAAACCGTAATTACATTACGGTACGGTCGTACGATTTTCTGGGCTTCAGAATCGCACGTCCATTTCGCCCGGAATGCCCAGAATGGCAGCACGTTGCAGGTGCACGCCCAGATTCTACGTGGTGCGAAGCGGTGCGTTACAGTATCCTACCAGCTATCTTATCCATTTTTTTGCTTTAAGTTCCCGTTTTTAGCTGGCGGATCAGTTTGCTGCACAGCAATCAGATGAGCGTGGGGATTGCGCTCGACGTTATCGTCGACAAAAATCTACACTATTACGCTTCGTCTATTAATGTGGGTTTTGAGATACCTTCTGGAGTCTGCAGGGCTTCTCTGGGTTCGGGTCAAAAGACAAAATCCAGTCCATTTTCGATAAAAAGTTGGTGCACTCGGGGCTGTCCTTCTAGCGGGAAGTCGTAGTCTCCGCCGAACCGTAGCAAATTTAGTATCTCATATTTATCTGCCGAGTGTGAAAATTTAATAGATCTTAATCTTGTTTTTACTAGATTCCGAAGAGAAAAATGCCTCAAATAGCCCATTTTCAAAGCCGAATTTTGCCAAACAAAAAATTTGCCCGGAAAGGGAAGGGTCCGTGCTTCATTTTCGCTATACATATGCCCAATTCCGGCAAAGCCCGGTTAAAAACGTACAATAAATTTTCTTTTTCCAGTAACGCGAAAATGACTGTAGCTAGCCGGCGGGCATTTCTTTGAACATTTTCAGTACCCTTCAGTACCGCTGTTCAAAATTTTAGGTCGATCGGATGTTAAATGGGAAATTGCCAGCGTGATATTTATTGGGAGTAACTTGTACACTTTGGAAATTTAGGACACAAAGATCTCGCAACCAAACTGGGTGCTCGGCTCGCCCGTGTTCGACCGGGCCCCCTTTGGTCCGGGACAATGGCTCGATGTGACGATGCAGTAAGTGCTTCAGGCTTGCAACACAACTGTATCTGGCTTATAAACTTTTAGAGTTCAGGGTTTTAGAAAGATTTTAGAGTAATCGGATTCCGGCAAATCAAGGTCATGTTCGGGAAAGGTTCCGGCGTGCGCGACTACGTCTTCACCATGCCCGCCGAGCTGCCCACCCGGAATACAAGGGACCTGAATATGGCTGTGGTAAGACTTCAGTTTTATTCAACAGTCGAAGGGTTTATACCACTCAGCTAATTATTGTTGCTTCGGGTGGATTAGCATATAAATTTCAGCTTCCCGGTCCCTTCACTAGGGATGCCTTCCAACTTACCATCGAGTTTCGACTTGAAAATTGGTGAGCTTATAGAGTTTGAGCTTGCGATTCAGATGCGCTAAAAATTTTAACAAATCGTCCATAGGCGGCTGAGATATAACAAGTTTAATTTTGGCAAAAATGCATGATTTTTGCGCGCGTCGTCCCCGCCGCCCCCGAACGGGGCGTGCGGAGAAGAGGCCTCTCTGGCACCCCTCCGGCATGGCAGCGTGGCCTCGAGGTAGAGCTCTCGCTTCAAAAACTTTTGGTCGGGGGTTCAATTCCGGCCACCAACTTTTTTTGAAAAAACTTTTTAAAGCTTTTTGCCAAAATTTTTACCTGCATTATTATTTTGTATTCTCTGGCGGAATCAAAAGATAGCGGGCTGTGAAGATTCTCGAATCTGATAAAATGACTTGCTCTGTTCATAGAAATGCTCCAGAGCTTTTCCTGTGTTTCTTCATCCTTCGCTACAGCATCGTAAAACAATCGCAAAAAGTTTGGCAAAAAGCTTTAAAAAGTTTTTTCAAAAAAAGTTGGTGGCCGGAATTGAACCCCCGACCAAAAGTTTTTGAAGCGAGAGCTCTACCTCGAGGCCACGCTGCCATGCCGGAGGGGTGCCAGAGAGGCCTCTTCTCCGCACGCCCCGTTCGGGGGCGGCGGGGACGACGCGCGCAAAAATCATGCATTTTTGCCAAAATTAAACTTGTTATATCTCAGCCGCCTATGGACGATTTGTTAAAATTTTTAGCGCATCTGAATCGCAAGCTCAAACTCTATAAGCTCACCAATTTTCAAGTCGAAACTCGATGGTAAGTTGGAAGGCATCCCTATCAAACCCCGCCTTTTAAGACTTTTTTTAGGTTTCCGGCGATCTGCGCTCCATCAAAATCACCGGCACCGCACTTGCCGGCAGTAATCAATATTCACAAGCCGCCGATCTCGTCGAAAACACGGCCATCCACGTCGAGAAGGGCGACAAGCCAATCGTCCGCACAACCACACGCCGTGCGACTCGTCGCCCGTTTGTGCGAAAGACGGTGCCCCCTATGGTTCTGCTGCCCGAGTTCAACGCGTTCAACATCATCCCAGAGCTGTCGATGGCTGATTATCGGGAGAGGATTCGGGCATTGATGGCTAGGATGGATCGAGAACAGGAAGAGGAGAGACCGCCTGTCTATCGGGGAGAAGATGATAACTACTAGAACGATTATCATTCCAATAAATATTGTTGTTTTTTTCGCGTCCAACTTTACTAGTACCTTATAAATAGCAGTATTTTGTCAATTTAAGCAAACGAAGGAAAACCCTAGCCGATTGCCAGAAGTTTTAGCTTACAGATCTTTCCGCCTCTGTCTGGCTGTCTCTCTCCCTCTCTCTCGTTCTCGCTCTCTCGCTCTCGCTCTCTCACTCTCTCTTTCTAGCACTCTCCAACTACACTCTCTCGCTATCACTATCTTATCTCATATCTCACCCTCTCATGCTCCCTCTTTCTCTCCGACTTTCAGGCTCTCACTCTCACCCTAACAGTCTCTTTGTCTTGCTGTCTTGCACTCTTTGAATACCATTCTCGCTCACCCTCAGTCTTGCTCTCTCACTCCCCAGCCCCCTCTCACTTGCGTTCTCTCTCTCTCTCTCTCTCTCTCTCTCTCTCTCTCTCTTTCACTCACTCTCTCTATCGCTGTCCCTCGGTGTTTCACTCTCTCTCTCTCTCTCTTTCTCTCTCTCACTCTCTCTCTCTCTCTTTCTCTCTCACACACTCCCTCATCAATTCTTTTTTCAGCCGTTTATTTACGAGAATCGATAGAAATCACAACGACAATCACATCCAGAGCTTCAGATTTGTTACAAAACGCCGGCTCGGAGAGAATGTTTTGTCGATTTCATCGCGTAGAATTGGAGAAGAAGAGACTTGGACGGGCTGTTGCGAGTGATTGGGACGACATCTGGCATCCCACTTCTTCTATTCCCTCTTCTTCTCCCTCACCATGCGCCCGTCAGTGTAGACCCACTAAAAAGGGCTTTTTTGCAGAACACGTGGCACTTATTCATTAGCGGGGGTGGGGAATGCTAGAAACTTTTTGATAAGAAAGCGCAGGAAAAAGCTTCAAAGCTTTCATTTTCTTCCGTTTTCAAACATGCTCCCCCGCTAACGGACTAGCTCCGAGTAAACTGGGTGGATAAGCTAAAAATCCTCTTTTCTGTGTTTTAAGTCGTTGCTCGTACCACCCAAAACCCAAAATTCGAAACTTCTAAAAAGTCTAAAAAAGTAAGAATTGTAGCAATTTGTAAAATTTTCAATTTAATTTTTTTTGTATTATTTTAAAGTCGTTGAAAAAGTTAGGCTCGTCACTCAGCCCCCCCCCCCGCTAACAAACTAGAACCGGAAAACACTCACGGCACGACGGGGCGGGTCGGGCAGATGCCAGTCGGCATCGTGCAGCCCATCGGGGCGATAGAGTCCGGCAGTCGCGGTGGGGCGATGGTATCCGAGTGTACGGTACAATGGGCACAACAGCAGCAACAAGCAGACGGCCACCTGGGCGCCGATGAACAGCCCGAGGACGATGTGCACCGTTGAGACGGTTGATTGCACCCATTCGGGGTCGGTGATGCAGATGTACTGAAATCGGATGATTTGGCTTGTTAGACTTCGGCTTAGGCTTTGTGCTTCGGCTTGAGCTTAGCTTAGACTTACGCTTAGGCTTAGCTTAGGCTTAGCTTAAGCTTAGGTTTGAGCTTAGGCTTAGGCTTGGGCTTGGGCTTGGGCTTGGGCTTGGGCTTGGGCTTGGGCTTGGGCTTGGGCTTGGGCTTAAGCTCAGCCTAGACATAGGCATACGATTAGGCTTAGGCTTAAGCATCTCTTTGGCTTGGCTTAGAATTCCCGTTTAAGCTTAGGCTTGGGCTTAGGCTTGCTTTTAGGCATCGGCTTAGGCGTGGACTTAGGCCTAGGATTAGGCTTGTAAGACTTGGCTTAGGATTAGGCTTGCTTAGACTTGGCTTAGGTTTAGGCTTAGCTTACCTAGGCCTAGTCTAGGACAAGCTTGGCTTCGCTTAGGCTTAAGCTAAACTGTATCTCGGCTACCATACCCATTCGGGGTCGAGATCCTTGCAGGCTTGAGCGTAGAGACGGACATCACTGTCGGGATTCTGCTGCACAAACGGGTTCTCGGCACAATTCAGAAAGTAGTCCCGTTCCACGAACATACGCTGGTGACGCTAAAATTCCCAAGTGATCTCTGCCAGCCAGCCCCTCCACATACCGTAAGACCATAGGTGTCGATGCAACGCGGATACTTGATGGTCTTGTTGGGGGCTTGCTCCCATTTCGACGCGTCCAGCAGCAGGGCCATATCCGTGTTCTCCTCCAGCGACATGAACTCCGCGTAAGGTCCCGACTGGAATGGCACGAATTGTGTCGTTAATGCGTAAATTGATTCTTTTGCATTAGCGGGGGGGGTGGAGAAATTTTTTGTGTTAATCTAGAAATGCCTAGAAAATTGATAAGAAGTATTTTAATAGTCTTTGTCGTCCAATAAAATCCTATTTTAACTAGAAAACTCGGCTCAAAACTCTCAAAACTTTGAAAAACTATAAAAAGCCGAAATTAGGTAAAAACGGCCATTTTTGGTCGAAAAATCGATATTTTTATATTTTTTGATAACATTTTCAAATTTTTTAACCTTAGGGACAGTAACAAAACCCGAAAACATCGTAAATCCCGTACCCCAGCCCGGAACGCAGTGAAGAGTGTCGTCTTCTCCACAAAGTCATCACTGTGGATGACATCGAGTGGGGTACAGTTGCGGTATCGACCGAGATCTCCGTGGCCACCGTACGAACAGGCCATTTCGCACTCCGGCTTGTCCAGGGGCACATCAGTAAAGTCCTCATCGAACCACCCCATCACGAGCGGCTCCGGCTCGCCGGCGACACGGCAGATCGGGCGCGGGAGACAGCTCGATGTGTCGCGAGCACCCAGAGGACAGTACTGCAATGTAAATTGTATGGGAAACCGATGTTTTTGCATAAGTCTAGAAATGTTCAGTAACTTAATAGGAAGTGTTATAAGAGTATCGTTAGTAAAAATAACTATATTCCCACCAGAAAAAAAATATCAAGACGCTTTAAAAAGTGTTGAAAAAGTCGAAATTTTGGTCAAAAATCTGCATCCTTTAGTCGAAAAATCGCGATTTTTTGTAAATAGCGATCACGTCTCTAAATTCTTTTTAGCTATTTCCAAGCATAAAAACTCAACAAATTTTAATTAAAAACTTTAATCATCGGTCGAATGATTGATTTTTCGACCCAAAATGACCAAATTTTCGACGATTTCAAATACTTTTCTGGCTTTTTTTGTGTGCATTAAATATATGTAGTTAAGAGCTATTAAAAACAATGTAAAAACACGTTGTACTTGATTACTAGGCCGACTTGAACGGCCTATCTAGGCGAATCGATCCCCCGCTGCGGGGCCCCCAGGCGTCATTTGGTTTGATGCGGAGCCGGCGTTTGGAATTCCGGGTTTTTGCGCAGATCCCAGTACACCGGTAGCGGGACCCCAACAGGGTTCATACGTGCACGGGACCAGGACCGGCCGCGAGGGGATTCAATCTTCCCGGGAGGGCCAGCGCTCAGCCCTCGCGCAGCAAGGGTTGTGCGCTGGTGTTACTTTAAAAACGGTAAGACTCCAGATAGTCCCCCCTCCCCCCGAGCCGGCCCCGAATTTTTGTATCTCGGCTCCCTGTTCATCTACAGATGTGTACAGCATACCAAGATACTCGCCACAGCAAGACGAACATTTTGGTATACCTTACACCCCTGTCGATGAACAGGTAGCCGAGATACGGTAGAGGGGGGTCGGCTGGGGGGGGGCGGCATCTGGAGTTCATCCTTAAAAACAGACCTTCACTTGGCGTGGATCTGCGATGTCGAATGCCGATGGATGGATTGCTTTGTGACCAGCCAAGATGTGCAGACTCGATAGACAATACGTGGCATCCGGTGCGGGTGCCGGCAACCTGCAAAAAGGCAGGGAAAAATGTATGAAAATAACCAGAAGAAATCAAAATTTTCGAATTTTCAAAAATGTTTAGACTATTTTTCCGATTTTTTTAGCAATCCAAAACTCTAAAAATAATAAAAAAAATTATAAAATTAATTAAGAGCTAGGAAGAGGCGGAAAAATAACAGTTATTTTCCCCATGCAAGAAATACCAACCCCCGCCAATAGTCCAGCACCAAAGAGCTAGGTTGCCGTCCCCGATCCCCCCGCTAATCGTCCAGTACCAAGAAAATTAGGGTCCCCCCGCTAACAGCCCAGTACCAAATAATCAAGGGTTCGGTCCCCGACCCCTTACCCCCCGCTAATAGCCCTGTACAAAAGAATCTAGGATTCCGGATCCCCCCGCAAATGCTTCAGTACCCCAAACTCACCTTGGCATTTCAAATCCAGCTTCACAGATCGGGTAGAATCGGTATACGATCTCTTTGATCTTCCTGTTCCTCTGGGCGTCGTCAGTGATCCTCCTTTCACTCTCCGAGAACTGCATCCGAATGCTTTCGTGGTCGGAATCCGTCGTAGTGGGAGCATTGTAGCTGTTGCTTTTGGCGATTCGCTTGAGGGGGCATTTGTGAGTGGCGATCATCTCTCGTGTGCAGACATTCAATGGGAGGTAGATCGGGTACCCGAGTCCCACCTCCTTCACTTTTGCCTCTGAAATGCATCGATAACTGTAAGGGTTTTTTACATGGGCTGGAAATTCCATGCGGAACGTGGCCTGTGCCGAATTTTTTTGCGGTGTTTTGCGGTTTTGCGGTTGTTTGTGGGTTTTGCGGAGTTTTGTGACTTTTGATAACTTTTTTGGCAATAAAAGGCTACTAAATACACTATAAAAATCCATAACCGCCCCCCCCCCGCTAACAGTCCAGAACCTCAAAAATTGCTAAATACAGGCTCTTCATTCCCAAACTTCCCCAAACTAGTTTGCAATTTTTGAAAGCCGCCAAGCAAGGATAGTTTAAACGAAATCAGGAAGCTTCGCCCCCGGCGCGAGTGCTCTCTCTACCTCTCCATGCCAGTAGCCGGAGCCAATCTTGTGGCGGATTCTTCACAAACAGCGGCCGAACACAATCGGTTGCTTCCGTATTGTCGAGCAACTGAAAAAAGAAGTCTGAATAGATTTTCCTTCCGTAAAAAACCTTCGAAAAAGTTGGAAAATTCTTTAAAACAATTGAGAATTTTTTAATTCTAATTTGGTAATTTTTTTTTAAGCACCAACGTATCCTACCTTATATAATTTGGTCGCGTATCTTTGTGTGTGTGTGTGTCCGGCGCCATCGGGGGGCTACTTTGCATAATTCCAAAAATACAAATTTCTTCATTCTTGAAAGTTGCACGCGCGGGTGCGGTCGGCGGAAGGGAGGGGTCCGAAGGACCCAAGCTATCGGAAAGCCAAATTTTTTGGTGTGTATCTCGGCTCCCTGTTCTTCACTTGTGTATCTCGGCTCCCTGTTCATCTAGAGAGGTGTAAAGTATACCAAAATGTTTGCCTTGCTCTGGCGAGTATTTTGGTATACTTGACACACCTGTAGATGAACAGAGAGTAGGTGGGGGTCGGCTGGGGGGCAGGGGCGTCGCCAGAAAAAAATTTCGGGGGGGGGCCCCAAAAAAATGTTCCAAAAAACTCAAAACATTGCCGAAAAAACAGCGCCGCAGGCAAAAATTTTTGAAAAAAGGTTGCATAGTTCTACAAATGGCCGTAAAACCGTGAAAAAATAGGGCCGCAGGCGGCAAAATTTTTGAGAAAATGAAAATTTTCCCCCTTACCCCCCTTATGAAATTTTCAGGCCCCGGCCGATTTCGGGGGGGGGGCCTGTATTACGCTATACGCTACGTCCCTGCTGGGAGGTATCTAGAGTCTTACCGTTTTTAAACCTGTTTTTACAATCCATAACCGCAAAAAAATTTTGTAAATTTTTATTAAAAGATGCTAAAATATTGATTTTTTTTTGACGAATAATGGCCGTTTTTGACCAACATTTCGCCCTTTTGAAAAATTACAAGCATTAGCTCCAAGTTCCGCTAATAAGATTCGAAAGTTTCCCACACAAAACTTGACGAGACACGACATCCGTGGGTATCCATCGTGGGTGGCGCGTTCGCCAAAATTGTAGGTGACATCCAATTCTCGATCGTCACAAGAACGCGTGCATGACGCGAGGTTGCCGCACTAAAAGACCATCGGAAGGTTGGTATATGTCGGCTACGCGGGGGGATTTTACGCGGGGGGGACGGACTGTTGGGGCCGTGCTAACTATTTTTTTGCGTTTCTTTTTGCTACAAACAAAACTCCTAGTATATTTTTCGACGCTCTGTCGAATGGCACTAAAGAAATTTTGTAAAAATGTCGAAAATGTCGAAAACTTGATTTCCTTCTATGTCCTCCATGGAAACAACGTTTAATACTTGTTTTTGTTATAACTATTTTATATTACGTTATTTTGAGCTCAAATTAAAACTCTTAGTATATTTTTGGTTGCTCTATCGACTGGCATCTTTAAAATGTCGAAAAAATAGCGCAAATGTCAAAAAACTGCCGCTCAAACCGATTTTCAAAGCTTATTTTTGTATTTGCCATAACTTTTTTATATTACACTAATTTGAGCTAAAACAAAAACTCTTAGTATATTTATCGGTGCTCCATCGAATGCCGTTGCAAAAATTCCGAGAAAATAACGAAAACATCCAAAAATGCCTGCCTGTCCCGTTCCCCCCCCCCCGCGTATCCGACATATACCGGAAGGTTTTTCGGCAAGGCTTCTACAGAAATCCAGTCTGAAATCTTGAAACCCCCCGGCCACGACTTTTCGGCCATACGTCCTATTAATGCGCGGAGTAGCTCAAAATGTTCGCCGAGGCCAAGTGTTTTCTTACATCAAAAATTGTTAGAAAAATTGGTATGACAATTATAAGTCTGGGTTTAATTAAGTTTTCCTGGTCTATTTCCTTACCAGCCGATTACAGCCGCTTCGCGACTGCAATCGGCTGGACTTCGGGCCACCCTCCATATTCTACACCACCACATTTAATCCCTACCTTACGCTGATGCCTTCATGGCAATAACTACACTGATGGCTTCAGATACCTCCTCTAGCCAACCCCCCACAAAAAACATAGCTACCTTCCCGATGGCTTCAGATACCCCTCCGGGTCGAAATTCCGTTAAAAATCTACCAAAATACCTCCCTGATGGCTTCAGATATCCCCCATGGCTGAAATCCCCTTCAAAAACTACTTAGATACCTCCCTGATGGCTTCAGATACCCCCCATGGCTGAAATCCCCTTCAAAAACTACCTAAATCCCTTCCCGATGG